CTACAGGCGCGTGCTACCACGCCCAGCTAATTTTTGATTTATTGTACATATGAGGTCTCGCCAAGTTGCCCAGGTGGGTCTTGAACCCCACGGGCTCAGGCAATCCACTCACCTCAGCCTCTCAAAGGCACGGGATTACAGGCTGAGCCACCGAGCCCAGCTTTTTTCCTATTTAACAAGCCCAAAAACTCTTGTATTTTTTAAATTTAAACTTTATTTTCTATTTAACAAGCCCAAACTATCAACTAGGTCCTGATGTTCTGTTGAAATAAGCAACTTCACAAAACACAACATCAACACCAGACAAGACTACTCTGTGACCATGAGATCAAGACACAAACATGATCACTCAACTGAATGCAGGCAAAAATACGAACATTGTCCAAACCACAGAAATGACCAATATCTCCCTATTTTGGCTAATGAGAATAACTACAGCTGCTTTGCTAATTACAACTTTAGCTTTGCTTCATTCCTCCCAACTTATAAATAAGATTTATTAAGATGCTGTGGAGGAGGGAAAAAATGACCTTCCACCCTCTTAGGTTCTGTAGCTGAACCTAAGAATTAAACTGATGTAAGATAGATTTACAGGAAAAAAGCATGCAAATTTTATTTAACATGCTTTGCATGTACATGAGAGACTTCAGAAGGAAAATGAAGACTCAAAGAAACCAATAGGTCCCAAAGCTTATATACAGAGGGTGCTAAAAAAAAATGTATACACAGTTGAAGAAAGGAAAAAAACTGCAGGTGCAGTGGCTCAAGCCTGTAATCCCAGCACTGTGAGAGGTGGAGGCAAGAGGATTGCCTGAACTCAGGGATTCAAGACCAGCCTGAGCAACATGGCGAGACCTCATCTCTACAATAAATCAAAAAAATTAGCCGGGCGTGGTAGCACATGCCTGTGGTTCCAGCTACTTGGAAGGCTGAGGCGGAAGGATCACTGGAGCCCAGCAGGTCAAGGCTGCGGTGTCCAGGAGCGGCCACTGCACTCCGGTCTGGGCAACAGAGTGAGACTCCAACTCAAAAAAAAAAAAGCGTATACATTTTTTTGGCACCCCTGGTACCGTTTTATACAAAGAACAATTGTGGGGATGTGATGAAACAAAGAGGTTGGAACTAGGGACAGTAAATTGTGTTCCAATGACTAGGAAATATATAAAGGGAAGGTAAAGGTTACTTTAGTAGGTTTTTTTGTACAGGTCCATTTTGGCATGGACTCAGTCTCTGATGATGTCTCCCTGTTTCTTCCTGATACAGGGAGAACACCTCTCTCATAGGAAATTTTATGACTTGCAGTTAGGCAGAAAGAGGGAGGTCAGAGATCCTTTCCTATGTCTGCTGTTTCTCAAGTGTCTTCGGCTCAAAATAATCAATATGCCAAAGTGGCATATTTTGGAGTGGCTTGTTAACTCCTTCAATAGCCAGTCATAGGATTACTCCCACTTCCTGACAGTCTTCAATCCAGCACAAAGCCCCATCCTGTTAAACTCTTCCTCAAATCATTCAACACAAGTCAAGTCCTTAGAGTCCTTTCTAACACCTTTTTTTTTTTTTAAATTGGAGTCTCACTGTTTTGCCAGCCTGGAAGGATGGACTGCAGTGGCATCCTCACACCACTGCAGCCTCGACTTTTTGGGTTCAGACGATCCTTCCACCTCAGTCTTCCAAGTAGCTAGAACTATAGACGTGTGCCACCATGCCCGGCTAATTTTTTAATTTACTATAGAGACAAGGTCTTGCCAAGTTGCCCAGGCTGGTCTCGAAGCCCTGGGCTCAGGTAATCCTCTCGCCTCTGCCTCCCAAAGTGCTGGGATGACAGGCGTAAGCCACCGCACCTGGCCTATCTTACAGAGATGTCCCACCATTCCCCATAGTATACATTCTCTGATGCAAAGAGCAATAAACCCCAATTTCAGCAGGAGTTTTCCTGGTGGAATTTGGTTGGTGGGGCATTGGTATTCATGAGTAGAGTAGGAGGCAGCTTGAAGAGACTCTCATGTTGACAATCTGTACCAAGTAATAGGGACTACTAGCTGGTCACAATTGTGCATGCCTGTTCTAGCTACTAGGGAGGCTGAGGTGGGAGGATCACCTGAGCCCAGGAGCCTGGGGTCACACTAGAATTCAAATTTCATTAATTATACTGACATTTATCAAAAACCTACTCTGCCGGGAACGATTCCAGTCAAAGGCAATGCTGAAATTCAAAACGCTCTTCGAGGTCAGGCATGGTGGCTCACGTGAATAATCCCAGCACTTTGGGAGGCCAAGGCGAGAGGATTGCCTGAGTCCAGGGGTTCAAGACCAGCCTGGGCAACTTGATGAGACCTCGCCTCTACAATAAATCAAAAAATTAGGTGGGCATCATGGTGCATGCCTGTGGTTCCAGCTACTTGGAATGCTGAGGTGGAAGGATCACCTGAGCCAAGCAGGTCGAGGCTGCGGTGGCCGTGAGCCTGCCACTGCATTCCAGCCTGGGCAATAGAGTGAGACTCCAACTCAAAAAGTAAACAAACAAAAAATGCTCTTTGCCCCAGAGTGGAGTGTGCCTTCTGAAGAGTGGGATACAAGTAAACCTACAATTACATAGAATGTGATAAGCTTAGAGAGAAAGCATGGGGAGAGGGAGGGGCACAGACAAGGGACACTTTAAGTCAGCTTGGAGTAAAGAAGGGGCAGCAGCAAGGGGGTCCTCCTGGCTGTGCTCAGTGGGTCACACCTGTAATCCCAGCACTTTGAGAGGATGAGATGAGAGGATTGCTTAAGCCCAGGAGTTCAAGACCAGCCTGGGCAACACAGTGAGACTTCACTTAAAAAAAAAAATTTTTTTTGGCTGGGCTCAGTGGCACAGCCTGTAATCCCAGCACTTTGGGAGGCCGAGAAAGTGGATTGCCTGAGCCTGCGGTTCGAGACCCACCCGGGAAACTTGGTGAGATCTCGTCTCTACAATAAATCAAAGACTAGCTGGGCGTGATAGCGCGTGCCTGTAGTTCCGGCCACTTGGAAGGCTGAGGTAGAAGGATCACCGGAGCCCAGAAGGTCGAGGCTGCGGTGGCCAGGAGCGTGCCACTGCACTCAGTCTGGGCGACAGAGTGAGACTCCAACTCAAAAAAAAATTTTTTTTTAATTAACCAGGTGTGATAATACATGCCTATAGTCCCAGCTACTCAGAAGGATGAGGCAGAATGATTGCTTGAGTCCAGGAGATC